CAGCTAAGATACTGCGCAGAACCCTCAAGCTCCCAGGCCTCTGGTAGAGGACCCGAGCTTGAAGGATAAACCGCCCGCAGGGGCGTGCTGGGTGTTTTTATATATATATATATATATATATATATGTTCTGGTTGTACATGCACGTGCACTACTCACGCTAGGAGCAATACGCTGCAGCTGCCTAAGGGTGATGCGGTTATACATGGTGCTGATGTCCTTTCTTTGGTCGTCATATTCTGACACAGTGATCTGGAAAGAGAGGAAATTTTACTCAGCACTGCGCACACACTCATGTGAAAAAAGAAACACATACACACACACACACAATCAGCTTACATTGGCCAGACGGGTCTCCAGCTGTATAATCTCCGTGGACTTCTGTGTGGCGTTGTGAGCTCCCAGCATGCTCAGCAAGCGCTCCATCAGACCCTTGTATGCCGTCAGGATCTGAGAAGCAGAGTGATATCAGCGCTAATAGACAGGAGGTGCTGCTGAGACATCGTCAATAATGTCCGGAGACGGCGGTGACATATGGCAAAGTGGACAGCACAACAACACCACAGTGGGTGACAGAGGAAAACAGGTGGATGGATGAAGAAGAGCAAATGAAGAGTCAATAGGGCAGATGGGAGGAGGAGAGAAGGAGGAAAGGACTGAGGGAGAGAAGATGGGGGAAAGAGGGGAAAGAGGAAGGGAGGGTGGCAAAGAGAAGTGGAAAAGAAAGCAAAAGAAAAAGATGATGTAGGAAGGAGAGAAGCGAGAAGCGAGAAGGCAGGCAATGGTTGGGGTCAAACAGGAGGTGGGATGAAATGATGATGAAATTTAGGCCAGTGAAAGGAAGAAGAATCAGGGAAGTAATGAGAGGAAGGGAGAAGGAATGGAGGAGGAAAAGTGGAGGGATACTGGTGGGTGGTAATAGAGGGAGAAAGCTCACCTTTGTACTATCTTCATCCTGGCCCAGATAGAGACTTCTTTCAGGCAGTGTGAGCCCTTCCTGATCAATCTGCACCAACATATGCACACATACAGTCAAAAGCTCAGGAGAGTTTTTATCTGCCATGTAGTCATATGTTTTACTAAGCACCCCACTGGTACATATTCAAAGGGTTGATTAATATTTGATACTCTGAAAAAATGGTAACATTTACAAACCATTCTCCACACTGTATGCTAAACATTAATCATTTATAACATTTAATGAATAATTCACACAGAGTAATTCATCTTTTATTAAACTGCAGATGTTTGACAACTAATATTACTGGGTTTGTGAAAATCCTATCCAGAAGTTTTGGTTTTAAAAAAACTAAACAAAACTCTCCACACACTTATAGTCTTCTGACTAAAATCTAAACATGTGACCTATGCATGAATCCTGGGTCAAAATAGGGGCTTCCAAAAACTTCAAATAGAATAAAGAATTAGACATTTAAAAGTGAAAATTATAAATTATACTAAAAAAAATATTATTAACCAAAGAAAAGGAAAGAAAAAAGCAGCACTGCTGGAGGCTCTCTGTCTGACAGGTAAAACTGGATTTCTGTTCTATCTACCCCACACTGGGCGCCAAAGTAGAAACAGCTGTTTGCTGTGGGCCGAGATCCAGCTACCTTAAAACGCACCATTGGTGAGAAAGAGAGTAGTTTAATCCCTGGCTCTATTAGTTTGCCCTCATGTGTACATAATGTAATATTAAATTGTTTTATTCCATGAGAGTTTTTTTTTTAATAAATAAATAAATAATTTAATATGACTTTGGCCAGTTTCGACAGCACTAATGATAATAATATGTCTGTAAAGAGGCAAGTTCAGCTCTAATTTAGACTTCCATTGGACCTTTTGTGCCATTGTTGCACTGTATTTGGAAAAAAACCCACATTCTTTTAATACCATTAAAAACTCACACAACAAGCATTTTCAAATGGACTGAGTTTTCTCATAAGTTCTCACCCTGATAGCATTCCTTGAGGAGTTTTTGTCATCCACATTGACGGTGAGGGAGAAGAAGACAGCAGTGCTGTACTCTCCCTGCGTCCTATAGAGCAGCTCATTAAAGTCCGGTCTCTGTGGTGCACCCTCCCTTTCCCACCCTGCAGCACCAGGGGGAGCCCCCACCAGGTCCCACCCTCCACAGCTGTCTATTACCTCCATCATGGGGTCAGACCCCAGCTTGTCAATCTCCTGGATGTTGATGCAGGATCGATAGAACTCCTTGACTTTACGCTCTGCTGAGTTGGGCCCACGCCTCCGAATTGGCTCCAGCAGAAGGCGCTGTAGTTTCTCCTCATTATGTTCTCCTATGGCAGTAATGATGCCGTAGCTGAGCTTGTCCTCTGGGATGCCATGGCGCCTCAGCCAACCACCACAGGCGAAGGAATAGAAATCCTGGCATGGCTGGATGGTTGGGTCGATATTGGCCTGAACAAAACGAGCAGCCCGCAGGAGGGAGCGTTTCCGCTGGCAGTCCTGACGGCACTGCATGTCCTGGTGGGCGTCCAGTGAAATGTACTTGAGTGCCAGCATGCTTCCCAGGATGACACACATGCCTGCAGCAAAGACCAGTGCAGAGAGGAGGCAGATTTCCCTCCGGCTCCATCGAGGGAGGCCCCCACTGTTGCCGGTGCTCCCTGGATCTTTGTTTCGACCACCTGACCAGGTCCCTCCCCGACTTCGTCCCATGTGACGGTCCAAGCTGCCCCCCAAATGAAGAGTCATACCATTACTGAGGATATCACTGCTGTAGCGACCGCCATATTTAACTTCCTGGAACTCATCATAGTGGGCTGTTAGTGAGTACGTCTTCTCCATCTTAAAGTAGAGTTTCTAGTCAACAAAGAGAAAGAGGAAGGGATGGAATTGGAGTTATTTTTGTGTTCAGAGTACTTTTATGACCGCTCCTACCGAGGCAGAAGCATAAATACCTTGTATGGGGCAAAACACTCAACTGATGTCAAAATAATCCTGTTGGCCTTCTTTAGGAAAAGTCCCCTTTATTCTTTTTAAATCAAAAGCCAGCAGAGCAAGAGACTTCCATTGTTAACAAGGAATCTCTCGGGTCCCGCTCTCTCTCGCTCATTCTCCTCCCCTCTGCTCCCTTTCCATTTGTTTTCCTCTCCCCGCTCTCTCTCTCTCTCTCTCCAACCAGTTACAGGTCACCTGTCGATAAAAAAAAAGAAAGAAATGAGACAGAGCAGGGCTGTAAGTCGACAGAAAGATGGGAAATTGAATCCATGATAACAGCCGCACAGGATGACAAAACAGCATCTGTTTTGCCACACTTTCCCCCACTTTGTCTCCGTCTGTTTGTCAGGTAAAGCTGTTGGATTGGTTGGTGATAGTCAACCCACAAGGAGACGATGCCCCCCCTCCCAAACTGAATTATGGCTTTGGACAGATCAATGGCGAGTGAGAGCAAAGACTTGAGCATCAGCTGGGCAAAGATAGGTGTGGCAATCACCATAACGTAGCCCATCTCAATCCGAATTGATGTAAAATTTTACTATATTGCAGATGGGTAGATAAAATGTATTACCTCTGTTTTGCCGAACGTATATGAGTGGACCATCATAATACACCTGCCAAGAGCAGACCAATGTTTCTGATCATTTTGAAGAAGTAAAACTGAATTGGAAATGCCTTCCTCCTTAATATAGCTGCAGAAATGCAGTTTCCATGTCACTTTTTTACTTACACGCCTGCCAACTCCCTGTTGGTTAATGTAAAACACAAGGTGACAGAAAAACGGAAAATTGAATCTATAAGTACAAAAGCAGAGAATGACAGAAACAGCATCTGCTTCGCAACACTTTCCCCCACTTTGTCTCTGTCGGTTTTTCAGCTAAAGTTGTTGAATTGATTGGTGATGGTAAACGCACAGGGAAACTATGTCCCCCCACCGACTTGTGACACATCAATGGAGAAGACTTGGAACAAAGATTTAAGCATCAGATGGACAAAGATAGGTGAGTCAGTCCAGTTTGACATAAAACATTTATTACTGCAGAAGGACTGAGACAGTTGATCACCTGATGACACACACACATGCCAAGCTGACTTGCTGTGGACCGAGCTAATACGCCAGCAAAGAGTGGACCAGTGTTTCCTGTCATTCTAAGTAAAAGTGAATGGTATTTTCTTTTAAGGTCTTTTTCTTTCTTAGTGTCACTTCAGATATCATATATGTTTGTGTTGAATCTGCCTTCCTGTTTATGAAAGAAAGGTAGACCCTTTGCAGAGAACTTAAAAGAACACAAAGTTCTCACACGATGAGCAGCTGCATTTGAATTTTAACACAAACACTCATAAAGCTCTTAACATGCATTTCTGTAACCCATTAAAATGTATTCTTTTTCACTTTTGGCTATGTTCTACATGTAGCCTTTAAGTTATATCACCGGTCTTTAGAAAGATACACTGACTGATTGTTTTTTGGATGGTGTCCCAATCGGAGCTTGTAAGCGTGCCCAAGTCTGTGTGTGTGTGTGAGAGAGAGTGAGAGTGAGACAGAGGTTGTTTTTTAGTGGCTAGGCACAATGGACCTGCTGAAAGCTGTGAACGCTATCTGTAAATATTGATCCCTGTTATCTCCACTGAGGATAGCAAACTTCAGCACTGATTACATTAAACAGCTCTCCTTATAAGAATGCTGTATGTAGACAAGAAGAAAAGAAAAAGCAAGAAAAGGAAGAAGGACAAAAATTTTTAAATAAACTAAAGAAGACTTTATAGGTAAACAGGTGTATAGCTTTCCCCCATTCTGTGGCAGATGGATGATGAGTTGGTTCAAATGTTGAGTTTTAGTGGGAAAAGGGCAGCCTAAAAAAAACCCAATACTGTAGAAAGTGTGCATGCGCGGTGCAGGGATAACATTATTGTCTATCACTGCAGAGATGTGGACTTTCGATCTCAGTAATTGCATGTTTGAACAAATACAGCCATCTTTATTGGAAGGGTATCTACTCTTAACTTCTGATTATGCCTGCATTCAGGATAACTCTAAATAAAGGTATGATTCATGCTTTGGGACAGTAGCAGGAAGCAGCAAGATATCGGAGCAAGCACCAAATAGCAAAATGGAAAGCAAAGACTAAACAAAGCCTTACATGTGGTCATAGTGTCCACAGTGTCCAGAGTTAAGGGTTAATTTATTTGGAGTAATATTTTGGAACTTTTGTCCAGTACTCTCTTTTAGCATTGTTTTTCTGTACCAACTCATGAGGAAAATATCTGGCTACACTCCTCTGTCTACTGACTGGTGACGACAAAAGCCTGTGATTGGTTTTACACATTGTTTTGAAAAAGTTTACTGGGATGGTCTAAAGTCGACATTGGACATTGTACTTTATCAGAAATGTTCAATAGGTGAATATCCTCCTGTCCAGCATTTTTCTGTCTAACAATTTTTGCACAAGTGTACATCCACTTCACATTGATGCTGAAAAGCTGTGAAAAATGAAGCAGAGTTGTTGCGCGTCATTCGCCCAATGATATCTCTCGTTATGATTGACAGCGTTTTTCTTTTGCCTTTGAGTGTGGCTGTGAACACTTCCTATTTTATAACTGCTTTACCTGCAGCACAGCCTGACTCTGAAAGCTTGTATGTAAGGTTGGTGGCTGGTCTGACGTGCATGATGGTAAATAAATGTTTTTTTACATTTTTTAAAATCATAAATGTTTTGGTTTTCTAACAATTTAATAATTAGGATTCATTTCATGTGTACGTGCCTTTCAAACATCTCAAGGTAAACTTGTATACATACAGCATTTAAAGCCATATATACAATTATAATAACCAAATAAATAAAATCACAAAGCAAAATTATTAAAAAAAAAAAAAAAACTGATCACAGTAACAAAGGCCATGCTACAATGAAGGCTATGCAAGTCTGAACAGGTGAGATGAGATTTAAAAATAGAGGCAGTTTATGGTTTGGAGATCTGGAAGAAGTGTGTTTCAAATCTTGGGGCAGAGCAACTAAAGGCTCTAAGTCTCATGGCAGTCAGATGCAGCAGAAGGAACAGACAAAAGAAAAGCTGAAGAGGACCAGAGTGTGCTAGAGAGTAAGTATTAGCAAGATCAGATAAGTATAGAGGAGTAAGGTTATGAAGGGCTTTGAAAGTGAGAAGGAGGATCTTGAAGTTAATGTGTAGGTGAACTGGAAGCCAATGGAGCTGTTTAAGAACAGATGTTATGTGTTCAGTGACTCTGGTTCGGGATATAATGTGGGCAGCTGAATTCTGAACCAACTGCAGTTTATGGAGAGATTCATGAGAAAGACTGTGGAGAAGAGAATTACAGTAACCAGGATGAGATGTGACAAGAGCATTGACAGGTATGGCTGTGGAGAATAAGTGAGGAACAAAGGGGTTATTATTGTGAAGATGAAGGTAGGCAGACCAGGCGATATTGTTTATGTGTCGTGATGGAAAGACTACTGTCAAGGATGATACCCAAACTCTTAACCCGAGGGGAAGGTATGACAACAGAGGTATCAATAGACATTTAAAAAAGTTATAAGACTTAGACGGTGCAAAATTGGTGTTCAGTTTTATTACCATTAAGTTTAAGAAAATTGTGTGTAAACCAAACTTTACTTGCATTTAAATGTTCAGAAATGGATGTGGATGGGTGAGCAGAAGTGGGAAGAGAAATAGAGCTGTGTGTCATCTGCATAACAGTGAAATTGAATCTAATATTTCCAGAAAATATTACTAAGGTAAAGATGACCCCTAAAGCTTGTCTGGGGGCTGGAGGGGATATCATCAACCTCTCAGCCTTTACATCTTTCTAGTGCAGCGCAAAGCTGGCAGGTGGTTAGTGCAGTGCACAGAGATGTGAACAAACTAGAGTGAGCTGAAAGAGGAGAAAAAACAGGGTGAAAGTGAAAGCCAAGTATTGTGTGTCTCTGTGCAGTGTCACTATCAATGTAACTTATCATCCATCAACCTTCTGCTTTGTCACACACACACACACATGCACACCATAAACATGCTGGATCTATAAAACTGTAACTGATCACTATTACCCTCTTGCACTTCATGCACATAATTTATTATAATGTAAATAAAATCAAATTATTGTTAAAATTATACACCACACAATCTCCTCCTGCAAGTTCTCCCCTTCTCTCTTTCAGCTACAGACACGAACACACATACACATCTTCTTTGTGTCACAATTCCTTACGCGTTATAATAAATTATGACACACACACTCACATGTGCACACACACCATCACACACTGAGTGGACATCCAGCTTATGGCTAATGGATTGGATCTTGCGGGTACCATCACAGAGAAAGGCATGTGTGATAAATGGCTATTTATCGAACATGACAGGGCCTAATATCTGAGAGGTATACTAACGCAGCAGCAGACACACACACACACACACACACACACACACACACACCCTTTCTTTTTCCTCACTCACACACTTTCCATCCACGTAACAAAAGCACACCCATGCAGATGCATAGCACCATGTCACTGGTCAAATATTTCCCTTAAATCTTATAAGGAAAATATAGCCTTTTGTTTTCTGATAGCTGTGGTTCTCTAAGAGTGATCTGGTACCATTTCTAGTACTGGGATCTAAGGGGACATTAAGCTAACACACTGCCGTGGCAAGCTTATTCTGTCAGAACTACTATAGTTCTAGTTTTCAAAATTTGCCAAACAGCTATTTCTACAACTTTCTATAAAACACTCATTTCAGACAGTTTTTACTTCACTTGGACCTTTATGACATCACAGAGAGAGATTTTTCTTAATATGGCCATCTAAGGCACACAGCTCTAACTACGAGCATAGAAGTCACACCCACCTGCCTTCCAACTCTTAGCTTCAAGATAGAGGGGATAAAATTCAATTCAATTCAGTTTTTGCAAAGAGCCAAATCACAGCAAATCACAGCCTCCCATTCTACTTTTAAATATCTTAGGAACCACAAGTAAACCAGCAGTCTGAGAAATGGCGTGTTTCAGAGAGTAGATGAACTGTGGGGATGTACCAAGGCCCAGTATGAAATTGCTGAAGATTAATCTGAACTTTAATTCAATCTAGTTCCATTTAGGTAACAGCATTCGTCCCAAGGC